GTTAGCACAGGTGCTGACGGAGTTTCTGACCTGTTTTAGAATTTTCCAACCCTATTTTATTTGTGAGCTGTTGCTATTAAGTTTGCACAGCCAGCAGAAGAACTAATCTTGAGCACTAAGGATCTCTAACTAAGGACTTTTTCAGTGAATCATCCTGTCAATGCTTTAATGAAGAGATATTTATCTCCAGTCTCTGAAGAAATTTGTTCCACTTATCCACAAATGAAATAATCAAGCAATGCCAAACTATAAGGTGGGGCAAAAAAATCAAACCAAAAATAAAAAAAACAAAACTATGTATTTAATGTACCTTTTAAAACTAATTATAATAAAATCTTTTTGATTTCTGTTTTCTCTTTTAAGTTGTTCATAGTTTCTCTTTCCTTTGCTTACTACAAAAACAATATGTCATTATAGTAAAACATACAGGAAAGTATAACAAAAGAGATAAAATCACCTGGAATCCTCCCCAGAGGTAACCACTCTTAACATCCCCACAGTAAGATTTTAAATTATTCAAAGTCACTTAGGATCCCAAATTAACGATGCTGTTTTACTGTCTACTCTTGAGGTAAAAAAAAAGTTCCTGTTCTGCTTCTCCTCTTTATTTTCAGAAGTCAAGTCATTTTTTTTTTTCCATTTCATAAACAGTAGCTCTATTCTGCTAGCAAAACCTTTGTCTTGAAACAGAGATTTTCCTTTGGGTCTTTTCTCTGAAGCAAGTTCTCTGCCAGGAACCACCTTACTAAAAGGAGTCTCTAGGTTGACTGTCCAGCTGGGTATCTCTCATGACCACCCCACTCGTCCCAACTATAGGGCCAAGGTGATGTCATTGCCTCTACAAATTGAATTTAGCTCCTCAGGCTGAAGCTGGTGAGTGACTTTAGAGTTCACTTGCCAAATGGCCAGGCTTATTTTGATACAGAATAACCTATGTAAAGGGGGAGCTATGCTTATATAATAATAACATCCATGTGCATGCAGTACTTTTGGAATCTTTTTCAGTCTTTATTGTTATCTATAATACAAGGTTAATTAACAACAATTAGATTTCATCACAGTGCATTTAGGTG